CTACATAAAATCAATGGGTTCATCCCAGAGTTATGTTACATTAAGAGGGACAAGATTGGTGCCTTGGATAAGTCAGGATATTCTGTCTGAGTAACAGCAGAACAAACACATCTAACAACAATAAAATTACAAATAAGTAAGAACAATTACAGATAAATAACTTGCAGAAAGGACATATATTTCAATACCCAAGGGGTGTGATTATCCATTTGTCTCTAATAGCTGAAATTATTTATATATCAGACAACTTTAAAATAATTATTGTACTTTGCCTTGTCACACCTGCCATTTGGAGCCTACATGTTGTAGGTGTCCTGCATACAAGACCAAATCCAAGCATCACAGGCCCATAGCAGGATTTTACTTAAGCTTCAGCGTAAGTGCAATCCCTTAGGATTCTGCAAGACTGACCAACTCTTGCTTCTGTGCTATCACAGCAATTATTTAGCAAATGGCCAATTTTTAGCCAATTAAATATTTGCATTTTGGGGATGGATTGATTGTTTGCTTGTTTTTCCTTCCTACCTTGTTTATAACACTTGACCCTACTTTACATTCAAAGCATCAGAGACCACCTGTTTAATGATTATGGGGCTAACTCCAGGGTTCGTTTTTCCCCAGTCTAGATAAACTTATCTAGAGCTGAATATATGTTGGAAACCCTATTTCTCTATATGTGTAAGTCAACCAAACTCTCCTGCTGAGGGTGTAAGGTGTTTTTCAAGCATTCTTTGGAAACCAGTCCATCCCAGTTCCCCTGCAAGAATGTTTGTTTCCACAGGAATTTCCCAGCAGGTGCCTTTTGCCATGTGCTGTGCAGACACCAGTCAGAGTTGCAGACTGCTAGTGTGAACAAAGTCCCCAAAACCCTGTCGCTCAAAGCAGAAATAATATAGTACTTAACACTCGCATCTTCAGATTACAACTCCAAACACTAGCGCTAACACTGGGAACTAAGGTTATTAATACTTTTTTTTTGAGAGAGAGATTAGGCATGCTCTTAAATGAAACCTGGGATTTTTTTTTATAATGATTTATCTTTTCAGCTGCCCTAATCAGAGACATGTGTCAACAAGCAAGAATATCAGGTTGCCACTTAAAACAACAAAAGCTGCTTTACAGGTTTCTCTTCTTGCTTTTTTTGCTTGGAGGTGAAATTGCTGAAAATAATTTGAATATTGCTTAATGGCTTTAGAAGCTGAATTCTATTCATTTTATTCATAGCTGGTTGTAACAGTCCCATGGCCTCTAAACAGGAAGGCATTTCCACAATGCAACTGAATACTTAAATTCAAATTTGTAGACAAATAAGCACCAAGTTAAAATTGCATAACAGCAAATTATGTCCTGTTCTGGAATATTGGGAACTGATGAGCTAAAAACACAGGACCCTTTCAACTCAGAGTGCCAGCTGATTGCAGCATTAATGTAATAAAAACCAGTAATGCTTAAAAATGTAAGTGGAAGCCTCTCTAGGACAAGTCCTGTTTAAAATACAGAATTTTTAGCCTCGAGTTTCTGTTTGTCTAGTGATCTGCCATTCCCTTTGATTCTTGCTACAAGGTAATTGGCCTGGGTGGTAAGGCTGCCTGAGACCTTTGGAGGTGTGGAGCTTTGGGCTATTGCTTATCCTTAAAACTGGCCTTGAATTAATGCACATGGGGTACCTTCAGACACTATGTCACAGTAACACAGTGGATTCTTGTATCTCATTGACTGAGCAGCTGGTTTAAGATGGCTTTTTTTTCCTTACCTCCTATGTTTTCCTTTTATAAATTATGCATCTAGAATTGCATTATTCCAAGACGCCCCTCATGTTTGCTGCATTTCTAAGACAGTCCTGCTAACGGAGAAAGTCTCTGGGTAGATTAAATGCAGTGGAAGTGTGTTAGCAGTGAGGACAGAGACTGTAATTTGACTGTTTGTTTGTCTTTTACTTATCTCAAACTCTATCATTCACTTGGCGACCGCACAGTCTCTGCATTAAGGCAGCTTGCATTCTTGCTGGTAGTCCAGGGAGTCCCATTACAGGTGTGCTGAGTGCCTGGGGATGGGGTTATCCCCCCTGTGCTGCAAACGGCAAGAACTGAAGAAACACAGGCTGGCTCCTAGGACTTGGTGACCGAGCTGAATGGAAACACAGTCCCCAGGCTGGAGAAAGTATAACAAGGCCTTTGGTATAAATCCAAAGGTCTGCTCCTTATTTTAATTGCTTCATACTTTATTCATGTATCCCTCCAAGACAGCAATGTCTAGTAAGTGATAGTGGTGAGTCTGTAGCCTGGTAGACTGGTCTAATATCAGTAAAATCAGCCTGGGGAATTTTTTCCTGTCTTTGGCTTTTCCTCATACCAGCTCTGTATTGAGATATACAAGCGTATGTGCCGCTGAGGGCAGAAAGCTCCATTAGCCTGGGATCTCTCCCCTCAAAACCACTGCAGCACTCTTCTGGTAACCTCATAGCCTTCAACACCCACAGCAAGCGCTCCGGCCTTGCAGTTTCTCTGTGCGGCAATCAGGCTTAACAGATATTTACCCAAGAAAGGATGAGTATAACCCCAGTGTAAATACCATAATCCTAGATAGTATGAGAGGGCCCTTATCGTTTCCCTTTCACTTGTATAGGAAAGGGCTTAACCTCTTCATTGAAAAATGCTGTTCTTTTTGCAGAAGGTATAAATAGAGACACTTTTGGCTCCCAATGAGTCACAGTTTGCCAGCTGTGCCATTTTTATTACAGGCTTTGCAATACTTACAAGGCTTTAAGGCCTCTCTTGAGTTCTGCCTTAAAATAATTTATCTGAAAGGAATCATCTTCCATTCATATCAGGACAGAAACCAGTGGTGGCCTTTCTCCCCAGCCTGTACCCTTGCAAGTAAAGCTGTTCACAGCAAAGACAATAATTGCTAGACTTAAAATAGAAGTGATCTGCCCCCCAAAAGCATTGTAGGCGGCCTCTTGGTCTAGGAGATATGGGGAAGATGGAAGTGAAGGAAATTGCTTTGGGAGAAGGAGGGGAAAGAAGATATATTGGGGAAGGTACTGATAGTTGGAGGACACAGAAGAAGAGGGGCTGGTGAAAAGTAAAGGCTGGGTGGGTGATGGAGCAAGTACAGAAATTTTTCTGCATAAAAATCTGCTAACACAAACAAGCCTCCTTCCCTTTTTTAATGCACAGTGTTTACAGCTTCATTGCGCTTGTTGCCGGCAAAGAGGTTGCGTTCATGGGGGTGTTGAGAGTTGAGGAGGATCTGGGGAACAGATGCAAGGAGGTCTGGACAGGAAGCCAAGGAATGGGAGGAGAAACACCGGGAGAGGAGCCAGCACATGGATGAAGGAGGGGGAGCAAAGACAGTCAGCTCCCTTATCAACAGCGTTGGACAGGCAATTGGAGTGCCAATTCAATCAGACAGTCTGCCACGCTTAGCGTGAGCCTACAGGTGTTGCCTTTCCAAAGAAGAAGGAGCAAAAATCTACCTTACAGTGTCTCCAGATGGTGAGGTGTAAGCTAGTCTGGCAGGATGCTCCTTTTGCAACTTAATATGGGAATGTTGAACCTTAACAACTGGCAGTACCAGTGACCTAAAGGAAGAAAGATGGAGAAATACAGTCCGTCAAGGTGTGTGCACTTAACAGTGCATCCGCCAGACAAAAATTTTACACATCAGTAACCAAAGTAAAGCTGTTACGAAACAAACCAGGGATCCTTTTTATCAGTAATTTGTCTTCCCTTCGATAAATACCCACATACCACCAGAATATACTGTACAGCCTCCAGAGGCAGTAAATCACTGAATATTGTAATATATTTGGCCTGTATCAGTGCCCTATCATTATTTTAATCACAGGCTGCAAATTTTCCAGTGCGACCTTCGTATTTGTTGCCTTGAGGGACAGAAAATTTCTGTTGCCCCAAACTCACTACGAACACAAGACTGGAGGGACGTAACATGTCCAAGCATCTCTGTTCCGGGCATTTTAGGCAACAGAAGTGTAGAACAAAATGATACATTGGAAGGTTTTCCAGCAGGACTAAAATCTGCTGTATTCCCTTTTACTGTGAGCTGACCTGGTCGGCATGTGTGTCCTTAAACTCAACCCCCAGAATAAAGGAGTCCCTCTGTGAAGCCTCGTACATTTGCTTATCATTCTGTCTCTGTATTTTCGCTAAGTAGATGTTTTTAGCCTGAATTTAAAGATTATTTAAAATACTGAAAAGCAATTTTAACAAAAAACAGTGGAAGGCAAAACCCATTTCCTAGTTAAACTTGCTCAGCCATTCTCCTTTCTGTGTGGAGACGGGAACAATGAATGCATAAAGATATTACCTGAGAGGAAAATCTTTCCTAGACTTGTAACTTCCATTAAATACTCTTTAAATCTGTAATGTATCTTATTTCTTTGGAATGAGCTGAAAAAACTTCTTATGCTATTTGAGATTACTTTTTTCCCTCCCTTTCATAGCTTGTCTTTTCTTTATTCCCAACAATTGCAGAATAATAAAAATTATTACCAGAAGTAAGCAGAGGAGTTTTTACAGAGCAGTTCTTTTAATCTCATCTTTATTCCAGAGCATACAAGTCTGCCATCCACATTTATGGAAGCTGGCCCAAAGCCTTCCCTTTTAAATGCATATCTCCCTGACTTCCACGTGAACCCTGTGCCTTTGTAAGCTAATGCGGTTTTAATTCCTACTGCAGAATGAATAGCAAAACACACTCATAATCAGAATGTAGGAATTGAGAGTGCCCAACTGATACAGCTTCAATAACTGCAGGCAGCAGCTGCTAGAGCTAAAGATCATTTTCCTCTGCTCCAGGGCAGCAGAGGCTGGTGATGGCATCTATGTGTTATTTCTGTTTGAACTTTATTTTATGTAACAATTACATGTGGTATCAAACTTGAAATGATGGTCACCGCATCATTTTTTAGTTCCAGGTCTGTCTTTCCACTGCAGCTGTAATCCAGATTTCTCTATCGTTACAGGTCATCTTCTCAAAATCACTGAAAGCTGAAGATGGATATTAAGCGTGTGAAGGACTATATCTATTGGCTGTACTACCAGTACCTACTGATCACCTGCAGCTATGTGCTGGAGCCCTGGGAGCGGTCCATGTTCCACACTATCACCGTGACTGTTTTCGCTATGGTGGTGTACACAGCTTACGTCTTCGTCCCCATCCACGTCCGCCTGGCTTTTGAGTTCTTCTCCCAGATATTTGGAGGCCAGCCCGAAAGCACAGTTTCCATCGTGAACTGAACTTGCCCGAGTAGTGACTAGCAGCTCTTGCAACTTGTGAAATGCATGTCTTCTTCAATTTTGTGTATTTATTCTGAAGCAGTTTTGCAGTTATGAAAATACCATTTTCTCTTACAAAACATGGCTTGCTTAATTACCATAGCCGAAAACCAGAATAATGCACTGACTACTGGCTGCACAGTCCCTGTTAAATGAAACACAGGCCAGCTTTTGCTGTGTGATAATGACACATATCACGTGGAATGCCACGTTTACCTAATATTCAACTGGCTCCCACTTTCAGCACCCTAATTTAATCACACTGGCATGTATGAAACAGCAAAGACTGTTTATGATAACTGTGAGGAGGTGTACTACGCTCGTTATACACAAAGAAGTTCTGCCAACAGAGTGCAGTGGCAAAACATACCATGCCTTCTTTGACCCAGGTTAGAGAATATAAGGAGATGAGTAAAATACAGCATGATTTGAGTACTAATATCTGGCTGGTTATTGACTTCTGGTTTTTAATGGATGGAGAGGAAATTGGAAGAGAAAGTAATAGGAGTATAAACTTGAATCCCACTATTTGCACCTAAGTTGCTGCATCTGAGTTTAGATGGTCTAAGATAGTAAAAAAACCATACTATAGGTAATCTGGCTATTTACTGAAAATGACAGAAAAAAAGAGAACTGGCTCTGTTTCAGTGCACTCCTGCCTTTTTTGATAAAAAATGAGACACCTTTTCTTTCTGCTCCCATTCACCAAGGCAAGCAAAGTGCATGTCCTGCACCAGAGGAAGATGATCCAGAAAATAGAGTGGAAGTAATATTTTAATAACTGCAGGGAAGTCTGAGTGCTTAAAGAGATCTCCTTTATAAAGACCAAATGAGATTTATTATAATTGCCTGTGGGGAGTTTCTTGAACAATGGAAGGTTTGTTTGGTTTTCACCCTACACCTAAATCAAATGTCAATGCCAAATCATAAGTTCTAGCTATACAGTGCATGTATCTGTTACTAGAAGTGAGAGGTGCAAAATGTAAATAGCTTTCAAATTATGTTTGCACAGTTACAAGATTTAAAAAACCCTCTTAACTTCTTTATCAAGCTGCAGTGGGGTCCTACATGCTTAAAAGAACACAGTTTGTTTGGAAACTAAGACATGTTTTGAAGGTTGAACAGATCTGAACATGTGTATGCAGTTTTTTCAGAAAAAAATAAAATTTTATTCTTCAGAAACAACATTTCAGTGCATGACTCAGCTCTTTCTGTATTTTCTATTTGCTCATAAATACCCTGGATGAGCGCGGGCCAGGCTGACACCATGGCAGACAGACTATTTTGTTGCGAATGTTTTGGGGCAAGGTTTCAGAGCCCCTTAAATGGATCCATGTGTGGACTGCCATGTTCATCCTCATTAGTGCTCCTGCCTGAGACCACTCCTCTCTCTGGTGGTGAGGGAGTGGGGGGAAAAAAAAAAAAAAAAAAAAAAAAAAATCTAAACAGAAACTTCATTGAAGATCCCGCTCTGCAGACCTGTTCACAAGGTCCTGAAGGCAAGTCTTGGAGATGCGCAGGTCTCCTGCTTGTAAGAAGCCACGTTCATCATATCATAGTTGCTAGTTGTGTTCAGGTTCTGGCTCACACTAGAGCCACTTGTTCATATTACCAACACAAGCAGATCATGGATGTGCCTGAATTCTCTTGCGGACAGCCACTGATGTGCTTCAAATTAAGGCAACAAATACCTGTGTGTGCTGGTGACACAACAATTGAGTGGTTTAGGCTCAAATGGGAGCCAAAGGCTTAGCTGTCGTATCAGTTTAATTATAGTCGTTAACCTACAAATATGAGGTACGAAGCTGTGATCACGCTTATAGTAAGAAACAGAGCACTGGAGGAGATGAAAAATGTCAAGTACCTGTGAAAATTTCTATGACAGCAGTCTATAAAATAGAATAAAAGTAACAAACCAAATGTTGGAGGTGAAAAAATGAAAATATTTACCTAGTAAATTGTGCTTGAACCAAAAATATTTCCCAATATCCTATCCTCAAAAGATTCTACTTTTTAACTTGATAATGTGATGATGTAAATGCCATGGCATCTCCTCATCAATCCTGTTTCCAGTAACATCTTATTTTTCAATTTCTCAAAAAGGTTATTTGTTCCCAATGGCATCAAACACAACTGACCTGCTTTTAGGAGTATGAGGAAAAACACTTTCTTATAGGTATGCAAAGGCTGGGTCTCATATCTCGAGGAGCACACACCCCAATGTAATGGTACTATTTAAACATTTAACTTAAAGCAAACAGAACAAGCAAACGCCTTTGTTCAGGAAGAGGGAATTTCCATTGACTTCTCATGGTGGGATTCCTGTACAGCACTTCTCTTCCTTATTATTCCTATTATCATCTTTGTTTAGCTTTGCGGGAGGTGCCCAGAAGATTGAGGAAAACAGCAGCCGTTTCTCTTTGGGAGGGTCCCTGCGGCCTTACTTAAGTATTTAAGTGAAAACACTTTCTTTGTGTGCGTTCTTCAGCTTCTTTACTAAATTTTAAAGTTTTTGGGCAAGAGGTATTCACCAGGAAGGAAAGAGACAGCTGAAAATAACCTCTGTCTGCTAAAAAGCCTTTTGAGATATTTCCAACCCTTTTCACTTCTCCTTTCTACTAGAAAAGCTGAAGTAACTCTAGCTGCTTAATATTCAAAATTAGTGGGTTCCAGCAGGAGATTTCAAAGCATTCTTGGCACACAGCAGTGAACAGAAACATTTTTTTCCCCAGCTGAAAGAGAGAGGAGGTGGGACACCACTTTTGACAGCTTGAGACCACACCACAGCTTAGGAAACTCTGCTCCAGTTTTTAAATCCTTTTCCCTGTAGATGAAGCCGTTCATACATGATGGAAAGAGGTTTTAATCAGATTATATCTGCGCATTAACGCGGAAGCACCATTTGCTGTAATATCAACAAGCCACAGGAGGAGGATTGCATTTCAGAGAGCTGCCAGTAACACCAGCAGACGGCTCGGTATGTACAGCATATGGGCAACAACTCCGTTGTGAAGAGTAGAGTGTTGGGCTCCTTATAAAACACCTTGGCAGCGCACTCTCCTCCTGCTTCATTATTACTCCATGTTAATTGTAGTTAATTGCTCCATTATTACCCTATGCTAATTGTAGTTCAGGCTGAGCACAGCAGCTGGAAGTTTTTACACCAAAAAAAGCAAATGAACGGACTATGTTAAGAGTAAACAGAACCAATAATCCAACAGTGTTAAATGAAACAAAAGCAAAAAGGGAGATGAACCAGTTCCAGTTGCATTCACCCTGAAAGTACAAATGCATCATTAAATTAAGTGCTGAGAAATTTTTGGGCTCAGCTGGCCAGCACCATGCCTCCCTACTTTAAAATTCATTTTCTTAATTTCATTTAATCAAAGCTAGCATTTATCCTGCTGTAAAGGTTTCCTGGCCATTTCATGGATCGCCTCCCAACTCCATTACCGAGGGCAACTACACGTGCACATGTCCAGACCATGAACCTCTAGAAGCTTCTTCCTGAAGGCCCTTCAGGTAGCCTTTACCCGAGACTATAAAAAAAGCTTCCCAGGGACCTTTTGCTTAGCGGTGGTCTTGCACAGAAACATAGGGATCAGCATCACCACCAGTGACTCTGCCCATCTAGCAGGCTTATTTCTAAGTTATTTTGGTGCACTCCTTTTATCACATGAATTAAAATATAGAGCTTGAAATAGGGTAGCAGCAGTTTATAGCTCAGAGGGTCATCAGTGGGATACAGACGTCTCTGATGATCAGCTGCCAACTAAACTCAGCTTACGCAAGCAGTGACTAAATGTAGTGCTAACTTATTTGAAGTGTGATATTCCCAGTCCTTTTCATACCCCCAGAGAGCCTTACAGTGGCTCCTGCCTGACTGCTTACTCAACAGAAGAAAGAAAACTCTATTTGCATCCTTTCTCTTGATCTTTCCAGAAAAGACCAGCAACATAGTCCAAGGCAGTTGGTGGGGAAGCGCTGCCATTGCCTATCCTACACATCTTCAGGGCATCTGGGTTCAAACCAGTCACTTGTAGAGATAGGCCATCATCTGGGTGTCCAACTTCATCTACATGGAATTCCCTGAAAAATGAGACCCCGTGTTTAGGAAGTTTTGAAATCTTAAGGATGTTCAAGTACAAATTTTTTTCTGAAGTTTTTTTATTGCTGTTATTTGGCCATAATTTAAGATTCTTGCTTTGAATCATAGAATCATAGAATCATTGAGGTTGGAAAAGACCTCTAAGATCATCGAGTCCAACCGTCAACCCAACACCACCATGCCCACTAAACCATGTCCCTAAGCGCCTCATCTACACGTCTTTTAAATACCTCCAGGGATGGGGACTCCACCCCTTCCCTGGGCAGCCTGTTCCAATGTTTCACCACTCTTTCAGTAAAGAGATTTTTCCTTACATCCAATCTAAACCTCCCCTGGCGCAACTTGAGTCCATTTCCTCTCGTCCTATCACTTGTTACTTCGGAGAAAAGACCAACACCCACCTCGCTACAACCTCCTTTCAGGTAGTTGTAGAGAGCGATGAGGTCTCCCCTCAGCCTCCTCTTCTCCAGGCTAAACAGTCCCAGTTCCCTCAGCCGCTCCTCAGAAGACTTGTTCTCCAGACCCCTCACCAGCCTCGTTGCCCTTCTCTGGACACGCTCCAGCACCTCAACGTCCTTCTTGTAGTGAGGGGCCCAAAACTGAACACAGTATTCGAGGTGCGGCCTCACCAGGGCCGAGTACAGGGGCACGATCACTTCCCTACTCCTGCTGGCCACACTGTTTCTGATACAGGCCAGGATGCCATTGGCCTTCTTGGCCGCCTGGGCACACTGCCGGCTCATGTTCAGCCGGCTGTCAGCCAGCACCCCCAGGTCCTTTTCCGACAGGCAGCTTTCCAGCCACTCTTCCCCAAGCCTGTAGCGCTGCATGGGGTTGTTGTGGCCAAAGTGCA